AATCTTTGCCATTGATTTGACAACGCTTAAACAATCAATGACCTCAATTTTTTCACCTCTCACAATATCAATCATGTACACAAGAACGTTCAAGTAGAATAATTCTCACGTATTGGACCGTTTATAAAAAAACGTTTCTGACTTCATTTGAATAAGAATTAATCTTCTTGTGCATTCTATGTGTACACCATGATTGACACCAAACAAAATTCAACTAACAGAAAAATGAAGTGTGAGAAGCAAAATACTATACTAATATAGAACTACAGCCAAAATTTGGCCAAACATTCTTTTTGTATACACTAACCAGACTAGAAGAAAAATTACAGCCAACAAAGAAGAAAAAGATTTGTGCATGCATATTAAAATGACGGCATGCCTAGATTTCGGACGCAGTCCCAAACACAAGCGCTGGAGCAAATAAAATATAACTCGAGCAAAAATGAAATGAATTCGTTAGGAGCACTATTCCTAACAAATACTCATAATACGGATCATGACCATAGTATTCTCCAAAGTGATGCAGCTCCTCCGTGGAAGTCATGTCCCCCTCAAGACTTCTGCATCTGACCACCAGAGATTAAAAGTTCTTGTAGTCACAACTTTGCATTTTATGCTCTGATTCTAGTTAAAAAGCCACCAACTGGAATCCTGGTGCACGATTTTAAATAATGAACCATGAAACTCCCTTCAATCTGGTTCACCTACGTCTCCAAGGCTGACTTTGTTTTGTAGCAAGTGAAGGTCCCTTGCATCACCATTACAGGGGCAAATCTAGAGGCCGCAGAGGGAATTCTGTGCTCCAAGTTCTTCGAGGTGAACATGACTAGTCTGCTGCCAGCACCACCTCTTTTTCCAACAAAGATGTCCCTTGAAAAATTGTCAACTGAAGGGTCCTTGTGTACTTAAACATCTGCTCAAGAAAGGCAATCAAAGTTAAGGACCTAATCAAACATTCCCGGTAATACAAATAAAGAACACATGCAGAGCACTTTGATTAATCAAAGCCATTATTATAGATACATCAAAGACGAGAACTGCTAACAAGTTAGACAAATCCATATATTAAATGACTGAGATATGAATCAATTAATTCCCACTCATCCCCCTAACCCAAAAGGGAAATGAGAAGGAAAGAAAGAATAAAAAAACCCATTATTCTAATCCATAAGCTCCCATATTGAATTAGAATGAGAGAAATTTTAAATAATTTAAACTAAGTAGGTTTCCCATTTTCTTGATTTCAATTGGATTCTAATAAGATTGATTTTTGCATCAACAATCACTTGAAAAATGATGCATATGATAACATTTTTATTACTGTTAATCATCTTATTTAAAAGCTTAAGCCGTTAGAAAAGACCACGCGTGTATCATTCAAAGTTTTCAACATCCCTCTTTATGCATTGACCAGGTTCATTTTTTCCCATCAAATCCTGAAACACACACACTTTCACTAAATGGGCGGCAAGACTTGAACCGAGACTTTTGCCGCCTTTAATACATGTTGAACCTCTTAATTTAAAAGCTTAATCTGTTAGAGAGGGGATGCATGAATTCATTTAAATCGTCTTCAACAAGTGTCATGCTATGTTTCTGCATATTAACAAAGCAAGCAGAACAAAAAAGGAAAATATTCACCAAGGTACTCGTGGAAGTGCACTTACTTTTTCATCACTCATCTTCCTGAAGCCTAACTTCCTCGTCCACATCGATTCAGCTTCCTCAGCAGCAGGAAGTACCAGAGTTTTTACATTCATTGACGACAGAAACCTCTCAATGCATGAAAACAGTGCTTGAAAGTAGCCCTAAGCAATATAAGTTTCCACAAGTTAACGGTGATTCACATTAAGATTTTCTGAATTGGCAAACTAATGGAATGAAAACTTTGTGACAACAGAATAAACCCTTTCGATAGCTAGAAAACATAACTATCCCCACTATTTCATGTACGAGACCATCTCAACATATTAGCAACTTACTTTTCCTTGTTTCGATCTACTTGTAGCCACTAAAGGAAGCTCCGCTACCTCTTGTCCAAAAATCCGGATAAGACCAGCTGATACTACTACTGACCTGAAATGTAATTATACACCCACTATTTACTCGAAAATAAATAAATCACGAAATGCTGGAACAAATGTATGGAGGTCCACAAAAATGTAGGTAAAATTCAACAGATTGACTTACTTTACAATTAAAACAACACAATACATCCCACTAAATTCTTGCCCAGATATGTTTCTCCTGCACAAATATTGGAACAAGTTCTTTAGATTAATTGAATGAATATAAATAAGTAAGTCAGTCAAAAGAAGTATGTCTAGGACTCATAAAATGCAATTAACACAGCTTTTAATTGCTTAAAATATTTAAGAGCTTCAAAATATTATTAGCATTCATTATGCAAAAACAATTGGTCTATCAGAACTAAAATTACATGCAAATATATAATTCTTTGATGTTACCCCAGTGCTAGAGTATAATGCCTTGGCCCAAATTTATATTTTCACGTCACTATAGCTTTATGCACGAACCATCAAATAAGAACTTAATTTAAAGCCATTGCATGCCCTGTTTGCCATTTGAAATTCTTTGACCACTTTACACATTACAGCATCACAATAAACATCTCGTAACCATTACAAGGATCAATTTAAGCCCCCGTTTGGCCCCCATTCCTTTGAAATTTTAATGGTTAGAATAGTGTTTTTTGAAAAATGTGTGGTTGAAAAAGAATGAAA